TAGTATGGAAGCTTCCTCTCTAAATTTATTCTTAGCATTCTCCACAGAAGGGCACTGTGATCTCCAAATGACGACACCTGTATTTCATAAGAATTAGCCTGCTACGATATGTGCTATTTTTATTCTATACCCTGGAGCCACAGTGAAAACACGAGAAAAAAATGTTTTTCTTTCATTCCTTCTGAATCTTTTGTTGCTTTTCCTAAACTAATAAAATTGAGAAAAACATGAAGAGCAGTCAGAATGTTTCAAGTCTAAAATCTCATCCTCACTTAACTTTCTCTGAAGGACTTCCGTAGTCTCTGTGGTCTCTGGCTTCTTGTTGGCTTCAAAAATAACAGATTTAAAGACTGAGCAGAAACAAATCTCTTGTGTGCAGACAACTCTACCCTCACCTGCACCAGAGGAGTGGAAGGAACTGTTGATGCCCCACTTTTACTTGCCTCTTAAGAGTGGACCTGGCCCTGGGGCACTTGGAGAGCTGAGTGTTTCATTGTTTCCTTGACTGTTAAAGAACCAGGTTCTTAATAGAGAGTCTCTAATAGCAAAGAAAGAGCACAAGCATTGGACCTAAGGACTACCATCCTTTGTACTGTTCTTATTCTGTGTATTTGGATCAAATGGGTAAATTTCAGGAGATGATGGCATAAGCAAGGTTTCAGGAAGTTATATTGCCACAGACTTACTCACTGTCTATCTATTATCTGTCTGTCTGTCTATCTATCTATCTATCTTTCTATCATCTACCTATCTATCTATCTATCTATCTATCTATCGATGTATGTCTCTCTGTCTGCCTATATATCTATTCTATTTATCTTTCTATCCATCCATCCATCCATCCATTCATCCATCCATCCATCCATCTATCCATCCCTCCGTCCATTCATCCATCCATCCATCCATCCATCCACCTGTCTTAGCAGGGCTGTCACGTTGGTATTATATGCAGTGAAATCAAATTAGAATGCTCCTACTATAGTCATATCCTCTATCATTTGGGGCAAGGGGAAAGCCTGCATAGGTGCTTTTAGGTATTTGGTGATAATCATTTAAAATAGCTGTCTTGCACTTATGACCTAGAACAGTGAAGTCTACGCCTTAATAAATCCTAAAACCTGTCTCTAAAATAATGTTTGTTTGTTTTTAGTATTTCCTCATTATTAAAAAAACAAAACCAAACCAGGACCTACTTGTAAGCCCCACAGAAATTCTACTAGACTTTTAAAATTGGGTTTGGTTTTACCACATTTATTTTTCCTCAGTTTTTTTTTTTTTTCTTCCTATTTAGCCTTTTGCAACTCTTTCTGTTGCTTACAGTATCACTTTGCTGTTTTTGTAGAAAGTTGACCCATAGGGAGGCAGCTGTGGAAGAGTTTCTGGGACTTGAAAATCTGGTTTGAATCCCAGCTTTTTGCTCGGCCAAAGTGTGCTGTAGCTTACTGTGTCAGCTTACATCTTTGAGCTTGGGTTATAGTTGAATCAGGCTGTAAAAAAATCAAACCAAAGAAAGATGAAAAAGAAAAGTGTTTACAGATGTTTTTTAAGCCCAGTGCCAGATTCTTATGAAGCCTGCCTCATAGATGCTCAACTTGTTAGGAATAAACATTGTGACTGATAAACACATTTTTAATCAAATTGTGTTAACTTGAACTTTAATCCTCTTCTTAAAACAATCATCTTTAAACCAAATGGTTTTATGGAGCATCCCCAATTACCTGCAGGAGTGGTATGAGAAGGATGGAATAAACAAGGCCACATTGTTGTCAGTCTCCATCTTCTATTTCTCTAAATGAAGTTGCTGAAAGATTCTTTGTTATTCATTCCCTTAGAGTAAATACCTTTCTGTGAATTTATACACCCCACGCTTCAGGCTTCAGAGCCCCCATGGCTGCCCCCTTGTGAGAAATCTTTGGTCAAGAGGAGGGATGGCACTTGATTAGATATTTTCTTGAATTATCCCAAGTTGGGTGAAGATCTTTTTCATTTCAGTTCATCCATCACACTTAAACATGTGGGTGAGATTAACTACTTTTTGTGGCCTCCAAAAAGCCGACGTAGATTTACAATCAATGGAGTTCAAAGCAACTATAACAGAAATAGTCATGTATCTCAGTGAAATACAGAGTGGCTTCTTACACTTTGTCTTTAGGTCCTCGTTTTCATATACTTTGTAATCTTACCCAATTTTAGTTTAAAATGCTTATACAATTTTAGTTTAACTTGAAAACCAATACATAAAACCAAAACACAACAAAGCAAGTACAGGACATTTGAAGTTCAGGAGAGGAAGTGTGGAGCGAGGAGAGGAGCAGGCCCAATTTACAAACCATGTCAGAGCTGCCTGGATAGCAGGTGCTCTTCCCCTGGGAGATCGGTCCCACAGAAAGCCATCCACGGGGCTGGCCCGGTGGCATAGTGGTTAAGTTCACGAGCTCCGCTTCGGCAGCCCGGGGTTCACAGGTTTGGATCCTGGGCGTGCACCGACATACCGCTTGTTGAGCCATGCTGTGGCGGCATCTCATATAAAGTAGAGAAAGATGGGCACAGATGTTAGCCTAGGGCCAGTCTTCCTTAGCAAAAAGAGGAGGATTGGCAACAGATGTTAGCTCAGGGCTAATCTTCCTCATCAAAAAAAAAAAAAAAAAGCCATCCACAGTGGGGCTATTTCTTCATAAGGAATATAAATTTTTGACATATCATACATTGCTCTTGAATAAAATATAAAATCAAAGTACTTATGTTTTCTTTTTAATTTTTATTTCACACTATGAAAGTCCAAATTAGAAAAGGGGTGGAGAGAGACTTCCTACTCATTATTACGCCTTTATCTGTTGCATCTACCTCATGCTTATTCAGTTCACATCCTTTCAATTAAAAATTAATAATTTGTTGAGCATATGCTATGAGTCAGGCATTGCACTACATGCAAGGAGAGTTATAAAGATAAATAAGATATATTTTCCCCTGCCCTCAAGGATTCTACCGTCTGGGTTGGAACATCTTCCTGCAGATAGCTATGATACTAGGCACCTTAGGATAAGTGCTGTACGAAATTTGTAAACAAAAATTACTTTAGAAAGAGCATGTGTTTGGGGAGGCTGGGGACCGTCACTCAGGTCACAGACCCAGCTACAGAATACATTCCTCTTGTTCTTTTACTGTTGGTTGAACTTGATGACAATGAACACAGGCACAGCTTGCACATACCAGCTTCCTTTATTTACCCCTTCCCTCCACTCCTTGACCAACTCCTTCCCTCATCCATTGACCAGAAGGCTGATGAGGGGTGAGTGGAGACCCATAGCCAGCTACTCCACCCTCCGACTCATAAGCAATAACTAGAAAGGGAGGAAGATCTCTCAGGGGCCTTTGGGTTCCATTAACACCCTTGATGGGCCTTTTTCCATCTCTGGGGCCCAGCAGTCTGAACAGCGGGCCTCTGCTCACCCAGGCTGCATGAATGAGGAGGTGCAGCACTTTCCTTGTTGGCTAGTTGAGGCTTGCTGGGTGTAACAGTGGTCCTTGCCAGCCATCTCCAGCTATCTGTCCCTAGCTTCCTTCCAACCAGCTGGTCATTTATTAAAAAATTAGACCCAGCCTTATATCATCATAACAAAATTGAGTTTTACATTTGAGGGCCTGAGGACATCTCTTAAGGTGGTTAGTACTATGATGACCATCTAAAAGGAGTCTCATTACGTGTGAGCTCAAACTGATATGACAGGGCCAGAGCATCGAGGAGTCCTGTCTTGCAATGTGGACCAAACTGCACAGAGACTATCAGAAACATTGGAAAATTTCCAGTCCTTGATTTCAGCTTTTGTTTCACCTCTTTCCCTCGCTGGCAACTCCTGGTGAGGCAACTGGCAACTTCCTCACCGATAGCATTGGTATCAGAGTAAAGTGATTGGTCAGAAGTTTTTCTTTTTTCTGTTATTTCTCCCAAATAGATAAAGGTGCTAATGTAGGGTGTAAACATATACAAGATCAGAATGAAGAAAGAGGAACAACAGGAGGCCTGGATCAATGGTCCATGGAAAATTGAGAATTGACAGTAATTACAATAGATGAGAAAGGGCTCTCCTATCTCTCAACTAGTTTGTTGTCAATTTTTGACTAAGTCTTATTTAGGAGAGTATATTAGTCTTTAAAGTTGAATGGGAAACTTCCCTGCCCTCTAATGACTCCTAATGTCTCTGTAGATGGTGGTGTCATCCTTCTTAATATTTCTATCCCTTTGGAGCTCTGCAGAGGAGGGAACCCTCTCTAACTATAAGGCATGATGCTTTGCAGAGCGTGCAGCACTTATGGGAAGCAATAACATAGTGGTTTTTGTTTGTTTGTTTGCTTTTTTAAAATTCTATCCAAGCCCATTGAGGTTGCATGTTGTAGAATAGGCCAGGTGAAAAAAATCCAATATTGTCTGTTTCCATTAACTTAGTCCTGTTTCCATCTTTGTCTTCTTCCACCACCTCACTCTGGGTCCAGTAGAGAATTCAGATGATTTACCCCTCTGTGCAGTGATTTCGCTTGGAACACATCTTGCTCTAAATATTTTGGGAAAGCTTCTGAGGGTGGGGCAGAAATTCTGAGAGAGGAACATGGCTTTTGGTATGGAAATGGTTGGGATTAGATGAATCTGATTTCTTCCAACAGAAGGACCCCTGAGGCACATTGACCAGATCTGACAATCACTGTCATCCTGATTGCAAAATAAGGTGTCTTAATATCCATATTGCATGAACCAAATGTTTGATAATCTAGTTTAAAGCAACTATTAAGGTTTCAAATGTAAGCAGTGTTTAAAATTCTCCACTGAGATTTTCCCTTTACGAAGAGAACGATTGTGTTACAAAGTTGAGATGGCAACGAGTATTGAAATGTTTAATTGATCCCCCTTTTTTTCTTTCCCTCGGATTTTCTTCCCAGACCTGGAGGGTGGAGAAGGGGGGGAAAGGCAGCATTGACACTTTTCTTTTTCTTTTTCTTTTTTTCAGATTCAGAAGAGTAAAAACACCTCATATACAATCAAAGAGGCTGCCAATGTCTTGCATCATTTTAGCTGAGCTTCTTCATTCTCCTTCTTCCACAAAGACCCCTATCTGGGGAAGGTGTACAACTTTCAAAAACAAGCCCCCACACTTGGCCTTCTCTCATGCCATCTCCTCCCAGGAGATGACTCTCTTGGAGCTGGTTCCAGGTCTTAGAGCTCTGGGGGATTTCCCCCCAAGCAAACAAAACAACTTCAGATTTTTGCACAAACAGAAACAAAACATGAAGGGACTTCCTCAGAATCCTTTGCTAATGCCCTGGCTTTCAAGGCACCTGTCTGGCCTGATGAGAATGGACATCCTGGATGTGCTGAGAGAGGCTTGAAAAAGCCACACACTCAGTAATTGCCATTTCATTACTGTCAATGCCATTACTTTAAATGTTGTTATTTTTACACTGGCTGCTGATGGTGGATACAGCCATGCTGGCCTTCATCACAGCTAAGATGATGATTCTAGTCTCTGGTTGTTCCTTTCCTGAGTCAGGAACATTCTTTTTCTGCAGTTTCCTTTCAGACTTAAAAATTGTTCTTATGCTTTTCTTTCCATTTATACACTATGAAATTCTTTTTGTTTTATAAAAAAGGAGATTTTCCTATAGGAATCTTTGTTTGATGCTTAATTTATCTGTGCATTCATTAACATATTCCTGAATGTTTCAGCTGATGACCACATTGTTCAGGTGGGGAACTCAGTGTTTTCATTGGGTAGTGTCCATAACTAAGTGGTTACCGGAATTTTGACTACTGGCTGGTCCTCTTCTTTTGGATATCTGTGGTTTGACTTGATCGCTCTTCTTTCTCTTCTGCGAAGTACTGAGGGAATTAGTATCAGGGAGACATGTCAGATAATTCTTTTCGTTTTAATGAGCCTTTAGAAATACAAGATAGGAGATGATTAATAGCACAAATCAAAAATAAGAATAGTAGGTGTCGCATGGGAAGAGAATAAAGATACAGCCCCCTGAACCCAAGTCAAAAATGGGATCCAATGGACTGCAAGTGAAGTAATGTTATGAGTCTAAAAGGTGTGGTTCCGATGAAACTGATTCTTAAAGTGTGGTTGTGGTTCACAAAGGAATCTGTGAGTCCTTCCCAGGGGTAAATCCCATGAATATGCTAGAGTGGGATTAGTGAGAGAAAGGAAGATTGGAATTAGGAAGAGGGAGAGCTAGTTGCTTGGCTTAAGTGTATTACCCATTGCAGATTTAATTTCTACATTAAAAAAGCACAAAAAATCCTCTCATTCAAAGGCAAAATGTTGGTATTTTTCCAGATGGAAAGAAGGAGACTGTGTATGTAGTCTACAAGGCCTTTTGCCCCCCTAAAATATTCCCCAACAGAAAGATCTGAAGAACTCTGTTGTGTACAATGCACAGTCATGTACTGATATCTGAACACGGTTCTTTGGTCACCTTTATATTTTGCCTGGTAATATGTCTTTTTCTGTTGCTCCCCCTGCTTTCCTAATAGTGAAATAATGTGGTCACAAATTCAAATCAGGGGCCTAGCAGGTGAAGTAAATGAGTAAAGCAAGCCATGTAAAATCAGAATTATTGTGACAAATGGCAATTCATAATAGGGCTTGGTATCAACGAGACAGTAAGGAGCAGTAGCAACTGCGAGGAATTGGAGAGGATGTGTGCTGTTGGAAGGGGACAGTTGCTACTTAGCTACGGGATTAGTGCTCCAAAGGAATGGGGGTCCTAGATATCTAGGATTTTATCCAAACCCTCTACAAATTTTTAAATATTGGCAACTAATTCAGAAACTTACAGACACTGTGTTGATCAAAGAAAACTATGCCTATGACCTGCGTTCAATCTATGGGACATCAGTTTGCAAACCATGCTCTTTGAGGTGGTATGGTTTTGTTTAGGGATGAAATACAACCAGTGCATGTCAGTTCTTGACCGTGGAACCTGAACATTTTACCTCATTTCTATTCTGTATTTTTGTATGTTGAGCTTTGCAGCCAGTCAAAGTAGAAAGCCCACAGCTTCCCTTTTATACTCTAACAAGCAAGACTAAACAATATTTGAAATAAAAAAGGAATATAGCCATTTTTTTTCTAGCACTAATAAAGATGGAAATGTTTTTCATTTGCTTCAAGTCATTAATTAGCTGACAAAGAATGGGTAGAAAATTTCATTCAGTATAGAACTCTGCTTGGAACTCTTAGTGTGGAAAAACATGTAACTCTTATTTTTAAATCCTTAAAGAGTGTTATGAAGGCACATTGAGTAAAAATGCAAAATTATTTTTTAAAAACATAAAATAATGTATTATTATGCTATAAATTGATACTGGAGTTGATAAAACATTAAAATAATGATTCCAAGTCAGTATTTACTGGAAGAACAGTATTTCCAAAGCTCTAGCTGACTAGCTATGGTCTTTTCGTTCTCTTGAAATAGCTTCCTCCAAGATGAGCAGCAATATGGCACACACATTCTTCCATTGCATGGATTATGGCATCTTACTCCGTGTTACCTTGTCAAAAGAAAGCAAGGGCTTACTCCCACCTGAAGTAAGAATTGACCGGTATGTGGGGAAAGCAGTAGGGACATTCCTACCACTGACAAACAACAAGTTCTACATGTCCCTGGGTGGAAAGTGACAAATGAAGTTGGCCTGTGAGTTTGGGTCCCCATGTCACCATATAGCTCTACATCCAAGTTTTGTTGATGTTTCAGTGGTATAATGACCCCTCCACAGGGAGGTCTTTGTTCCATCTTTTATTCACACCAAGCTTTCTTGTGTTGTGAGCCCTAATAGCTTATGTCAGCAGACAAGAGACTGATTTCTAACCTGTTAAATTCAAATGGATTTTCTTCCATTGTCTATTTCATTCTTGGAGCTTTTAAAAACTATTGAAAACATCTGACAGGATCCCATTAAGGACCTGATATACATAAACAATAAAATGGTATCTAAATATCTGAAAGCCAAAGAATAATCTAGTGCACCTGTTCATTTCATTTGCAGAATTAAAGCCATTATATTATATTTTCCACCTGGAACCATGCCTTTAGTAAATGTGAAAAGTAAAAAGTAAAGAGCAACATTTTCATAGGATGTGAGGCAGAGAGCAGACAAAAAGATGGAGACCAATTTTGTAATCCATATTTTGGGAATAAGGATACAGTCTTTTAGTATCACTTCTGTCATGAATCACTTTTCTTTAGATAGATAGATGATAGAAAGAAAGAATATTTTCTTCTATTCTTAACCTGTGAGCAGAGACTTACATGATAGAAATGACTTCTTAATGTTCACCGTGGAGTATGGGGGAAAACAAAAGAAAAAAAGCACAAAATCTTTTTTTTCATAATGAGATAGAGAAGATCCTGAGATTAAAGCCTATGTATGTAGTATTATGTCCCAAATAAAGGGGGTTTAGGGAACATTTTTTTTTCCAATTGGAAACTTCATTCAGATTCCGAGATTCCCACACATCCCAACAGGAATTGCAACATTGGCCCCCCACGGTGCCTGGTGCACACTTGGCATCCAGGAAACACATGAATTGTCCAGCTGAATTCCACTATCCACCTGTGAGTGCAAACAAAGTTCAGACTTACCTGAAAATATATGCAACATCTTTTGTATGCCAAGCATATGGCTAAAGGCTTACATTCTAAGTATATGCAGACATACCCTAGTGACACAAATATCTTATCATAAGGGATGGGAAATTGCAGGTTGTTTGGGGAAAATTGTCAGAGCCAAGCTTATGAAAAAATAAAAATTTCTCTATGGCCTTTGGATTTAAGAAAAACAAAAAAACCCCAAAATCCAAAACAGGATTTATCTGAAAATGCTCTTCCAAAAGGGACGATGACATTAATCTATATGAAATACCAGTGGATTTATTTATAGTTGAAACATTTAAAATCCAAAATGGACTCTCTGGGAGCAATAGTGCAGTGTGGGGTGTCACTGCCCAGTGTTGCTCTGCCAGTATAATGGTCGGTATAGCACCGAACTACAGCAAAATTGAACATTAAAGAACATACTGTTGCAATAATGATGTTTTATTGGATCTTATGTGTGAATGAAGGGAAAGTAATACTTGTAATTCATCAATAGTGATTCATGATTAAAGGCCTCATTATCACTTAGAAAATGAACTTAATGAAAAAATTATAATGAACAGCACAATATTTCTATGAAATATCCCTCTGAGAACCAAAAGACACGTTATCTGCCAAGACCAGATTTCAGTTGTTAAGATTTCTTCTCATCAAAGACACTGATGGGCACAGAGGTGACACTAGCATTAGAATGGTAACAGAGCCATCTAGGACATTAGACAGAGTTCATCTGATAAGTGAATTTGGGTCCAAGGAGGTTAGAAAAATGGGAAGTCATCCTCTGAATGTTCTCATTGGACATTTGTAAAAGACTGGATGCTCTTCTGGGAGTCTGCAATAAGCAAAAACTGTTTCATTGAAAAAGCATCTTGTTTTTACATTAAACAAGAGTGGGTTACAGTGGAAGACCTGGACTGAAAGATTCGTGAAGTCAATTTAAACGTTATTAATTTCTGGTTATTTTAACTAATGCCCCCTACCTCACCCATTTTTTTTTTTAATATTGGCAGATGTATTTGAAATGAATTTACATTTATTCTGGCTTTTGTTCTCAGGCAGAAGTAGATTGACACTGGCAGTGACTGGCTTCACTAAATGAACTTAGACCCCGCCTAGTTTGCCATCCACTGAACCAGGAGAAGCATGATGTGGTATGTGGGGCCTTTCAGCTCACCCAGGGCACATTTTCTCAGTCTCCCTTGGAGAGATCTCACCATCTCTGGGGGTAAATGCTGGCTGTAGTAGGCCAACCAGTGTCATCACAGAGGCCCTCAGGTTTGGTCAGCTTCAGCCATGATTCTTGAAGCTCACCCATGTGTCTTGGTGGCAGCTGGCTTCTGAACCAGCAGAAGCATTTCTCTATGAGGTTATGGTGCAGGATAATCCATTTAAAATAAAGCCCATTAAAACTTAATGGCTATGGAATGGCTTTTAAATAGATTGCCCTGGAGGCACATCATTGTATAGTCTTTGCTTCTGTGTCATGATCTGTCTTGGAGTAGGTATTTGTGTATCAGAGTCCTTGTCTTTGAGTGGGTATATATGTGTGATGGTACAGAAATATAGTCACATACCGGTATACATAGATTTATAGTAAAAACCTACAGCCATAGGTATTATCCAGTAACTGATTCTAGAGATAGAACTGTAGAGTATACATTTTCCTTTCTTCTTGCTTTGATGATATTTTTATACAATTTTATATGCTGTAAAAATTTTTAAAAAACTATTTGCTATTTTCATTTGTAGAGCTCGGTTAGGTTTTTATCACCTCTGGTGCCCGCTGTACAGCCAGATTCCTCCCCCCACCTAATTTAAGAGTCCTCTCCCTTTTGCATACCCCTTCTTTTACCTTTCCCTTCTTTCTTCTCATTTTTGTACCTTTTACACATCCCTTCCTTTGCCTCTGTTCAGGCAATCCATTCTGCTTGAAGTATCATTTTAGCACATGGAAACACAAGACAATGGAAAAAACAAGAGCATCTTGTTCCAGTGTAATCGAAATGAGG